ATGAAATATGTTTATATATAAATATATACATATATATCACTATATATATATATATATATACCTATATATAAATAAAAATATTTTTAAAAATTATATATATATGTATACATATATTAATTCTACATATATATTTATGTAATATTTTTACATAATTAGGTATTTTAATTCATTACAATTAGTGGGACCTGCCTGACAACCCATGCCGAAAGTATAGGGAATTTAATTTGCTAGCACTATATTTAACCCTATAACTTTCCAAGACACCATAAAACCTGTACATGGGGGGTGCTGTTTTACTTGGGAGACTTCGCTGAAACTTCGCTGAAACTTCGCTGAACACAAATATTAGTGTTTCAAAACAGTAAAATGTATTACAACAATGATATCGCCAGTAAAAGTGAAGTTTTTTGCATTTTTAACACACAAACAGCACGGACGATATTATTTCTGTGATACTTTTTACTGTTTTGAAACACAAATATTTGTGTTCTGCAAAGTCTCCCAGGTACAACAATACCCCTCATGTACAGGTTTTATGGTGTTTTCAAAAGTTACAGCGTCAAATATAAGGCTTGTGTTTCATTTTTTTCACATTAAAATTTGCCAGATTGGTTACATTGCCATTGAGACCCTATGGTAGCCCAAGAATGAAAATTACCCTTATGATGGCATACCATTTACAATAGTAGACAACCCAAGGTATTGCAAATGGGGTATGTCCAGTCTTTTTTAGTAGTCACTTAGTCACAAACACTGGCCAAAATTGGCGTTTTTTGCATTTTTCACAAACAAACAAATACTAACGCTAACTTTGGCCAGTGTTTGTGACCAAGTGGCTAGTAAAAAATACTGGACATACCCCATTTTCAATACCTTGGGTTGTCTACTATTGCAAATGGCATGCCATTATGGGTGTAAATTTTGTTCCTGGGCTACTATACAGTCTCAAAGACAACGTAAGCAATCTGGCGAATTTCAATTCAAATGTAACGTGCTATATTTGACCCTGTAACTTCCCAAAACACCATAAAACCTGTACATAGGGGTACTGTTTTACACGTGAGACTTTGCTGAATACAAATATGTGTATTTTATTGCAGTAAAACCAAACAGTATTACGACATTGACAGTTAAAATGTCACGTAGAACTAAAAATATAACAAAATTTCATATTTTCTCCCATTTTTTTCATATTAAATTATGTTTCATAGCTAAAAATTTGATATTAAATGAAAGCCCTGTTTCCCCTGAATAAAATGATATATAATAAATGTAGGTGCATTTAATATGAAAGTGGTGAATTACGGTTGGACAGACATGTAGCACAAATGCCAGGTTTTGTTTACGTTTTGTTTTGTTCACAATGTGTACATTTGGCTCAGTCCTTAAGGGGTTAATTACCTTTTCGTTTTGTTTGGAAAAAGAATATTTTCCGGTATGTCAAATCTTGTACAAGTATCTACAAAAAATAATTAAACATAGTACAGATCAAACATAACACGGTAATACATTTTTTTTCTGATGTATATACACTCACAAACGGAGAGCTATGGACCCAGCTCTGGTTTGAAATGTTTCTGGGTCCGTATAGGCGACCCAACCCTATTACCGATATGGATCTTGTTCTATGGGAAAGATAGAGGCACAAACGATTGCACAGTATTGTTGGCTCTAATTCAAATATGAAATAAAGAATCCCAAATGGGTACTTACAAATAAAGAGTCATAAAATAATGACTCAATTCTTAAGCATTGTGCAGATTCAGGACTGCACTCCCTGCTGTGAATGATGAAATGCTGGGAACCAGGATCGGTGAAGAAAAGTAGAAAAGATTTTATTAACACAATTTAAAATAATAAATAAAAAAGCATCAATATGCTAACTTATGAACGGGTTTCACCACTGACAGCGTGGCTTCTTTGACCGGATAAATCAGTTCTATATGCTTGAATTCCCAGTCCGTGTTTAAATACCGTAAAAACGGCGGGCAGAGAGCCGGTGCATGTATGCCATCACATGCCAGTACCACCCACAGGTACGGCGTGTGTGGTCCATGCCTCCCTCTCATGCCGCCATTCAGGGAGAGTTGAGAATTGTGTGTTCATTATTCTTTCGGCTTCGTTCCTCTCATGTACGGTTTTGCAGAAGTTTGATGCAGTTAAAATGTGAATCCATACATATTCCTTATAGTCTGTTCTCTGGCGATTCTGTCCACTCTCTTATGAGAGTATCTTCAAAAGATTCTGTTTTCGAAAGTCCATATACATATAAAAAAATAATAACAAACAAAAAACAAAGTATCAGTCCATGATAATATTGTCACAAGCTTATATGCTAACCCTTTGTTTCTTGCCTATGTAGTGATACATTTTATTTCGTAAGATACAATTACTTAATAACCAAAATAAATATATTCTAGATCGAAAATAAATTACAGACCTCAAAACACAACATTATCATTCATAATTGGAACAGAATATTATATTTGTTAATTCCAGATCACCAGATAATAAAAACATTGATTTAGTGAATGACTGCAAATGATAATTTCCAAGCGACAAATTAACTGTGACCCTCTATATTATAATACACTCTGATTGGAGTGCAACATTGGAGATCAAATATGGTTTTAAGAATTACAATTTATAACATAAAAATACATAACATAAAAACTCTCATTTATTTTCATAGAAACTTATTATTTAATATATATATTTATAAACCTATATCTATCGAAAAAATTGAATTACTTGCTACAAGTTTAGATCTAATTATGCAACTTCATACTATCAACCGACTTTTTTTTTTAGATTTGGATAAATCCTTAGAGTTTAATATATCAGATATTGATGGTCCTCTAATTTAACTTGTAATAAAACAGCTTAAAATTCATGATATTTTATCGAGGGGCTAACAAGCTTTATCTAGTTACTGTGTCATATCAGAAATTTAAATGAATATAGGTGAGGGAAAATATATAAAATAACGAAAAAAAAATATATAAAATACCAATATAAAAAATAATAATATGCAAAATAATATAAAAAAGCCTTTAAAATTCCGAAAAATAAACTGTCATAAAAATATGTGGTACATACACAAAAAGACCCATTTTGTAAAAATATAAATTAAAAGGGCCACTATCATATAGAAAAAACTTAAAAATATGTAAAAAGTCCTATCTAAAACATCCAAGAGATATATATCCAAAAACCTGGTCTAAAAGTAAAAATTCATAAAAAATGGCACAAATCAAAATCAGAGTTAAGGCCATAAGGAATCAGTGTATTGAGCTTATAAATCCATTCCATCTCTCGTTTTCCCAGGTCTCTTGTAAAGTCCCCACCTCTCCAATTTTTATTAACTTTATTAATCCCTATAAAAGTTATTGTGCCATGATTTTTTTTATTTTTTTTCTTCTCCGTTATTATGAGGTGTTTTTTTTTAGGAGGAATCCACATTAACTATTCCATATATAGCTCTATAAAGATATCCTTGAGTGGCGATCAATTATCAGTATTCATTCACTGGAGTCTACAGACCATTAACTGGATTTTATTGTTAATGCTTTGCAGCATTAACTGGCGTTTAACGTTTTTTTCACTCTGTTTTCTTTTACTTTTGTGTTATTGGTGAAATGCTGATTATAATTACAGGTCAAGCGAGACGTTATCAATAGAGGGAAAAAGGAGGAGCCGTAAAAATATCTATATTTATATGTTATGTTTCTATTAAATATATAATATGTAGAGAGTTGTTTTATTATTGCACTTCCTATTTTTCCATCCAAATTGTATTTCCCTTAAATGATCTCATGGTCAAAATTCACCTGAACCAAAACACCACATGGACATATCCTGAATTGATATACATATGTTTTTTTTCAGACACTTCAATATGGGCACACAGAATTTTGATGCCTTTCACAAGTTTAGTTATTTTCATTGATTTGTCACTTGTGTAAATTCCAGAGTCAAACACAATGTAGAACTGATAGGGGCATATAAAGACCTTTTCTTTTTTTGACACCTCAGTTTTTGGACTGAAGGGTCTGGATTTAATAGTTGAACTATGGCTTTGCTTTTTTAATTTTAATTTTTAAAGACTTATGTCTATGGAAATCATGTGATATTTGTGGGGCAACTCTATCTATCGTATATACATGATTGGGTAAGGAGGCCATTCTGGACTCTAGAAAAGAATACATGTTTTGAGATAGGAACATTATATATGAGAATGAAAAAGAAACAGAAAACTTTAAATAAAGTAAAATAAAAATTCTCAATTGATTTCTTAATAATCTTAAAAACTTACAACATCTATAAAGAGGGATATAAAAGAAAAACACTCAATAAGAACTAAATAATCTGTGTAGGGAAAATAAAATGTAAATTAAATGTTATAACTTTATTAGAGATATAACATCAATAATAATCCTCCGCAAGGTTAAGTTTGATTCCATGGCAATCTATTTTTATAGTATTCATAGCAATCTAGGTTGCATGGAAGAGACACAAGTCCATCAATTCCAATCATCCACAAATCTGTTTCTGAAGCTGACCTAAAAGAATATAAAAAATACATGTGAAGCCATTTCCAGTTGCGCTACAAACATGAAAAGATCCTCCCTGATTTAAAAGTGGTAATCAGAACCTCCTTGGATCAACATGCTGTTATTACTTAAATTATTACACACTGCAATATTCCGATTTTTTTTTTTTTTTATCGGGACCTTTTAAAAAAGGCTCAACACAATCTTATAAACAAAAAGTAAAATTTAAGTAAAATTTTAGGTATGTTATATGTATATGTACTACCAATCTCTACAGTGCCGTATATTACGTATATTTTTCTCTAGACTACCTTTTCTTATTTTTGTTCATATGTTTATTAAAAATTAAAATCCTTTGTAATAAAAAATGACACAGCAGATATCATCAGTACTTTATATATATATATATATATATATATATATATATAAAATCATTTCCATATGCCTGCATTCCAGTAGGAATTTATATATATGTGTTTGTATATATATATATATATATATATATATATATATATGTATTAAGGCAGTTTTGCCTGTATTTGTGGGAGGGGCTTAAATTAATTCACTCCCCTATATAAGGGACACCCCTTACCTGACTCATATCGCTTGAGGTCAGCATCAGAATGATTTCCAATTCCGGGTCATCCAGACGCCATTTTACCTGATTACTCCATGAGGTTTTCTAAGCTGAGCTGTGTCAGGAATCCAGCCACAGGCTTTTCCGGCCTACCACCTTCTTTCTTCAATCTATCGCTGTGGATGGTGTCCAAGTGACTCACAAACCGTAAGTCGACCTACCCGTTACGCCAGGTATCAGTCCCACGGCACCATGCACGGGTCAGGTCCTCACTTTACGGCTGCATTTTGTCTAAGTCTGTTCTAAAACCATTGCATGTTCATGCATATCATTCGTTTAAACCCCCTACCGGTCTTTGGGTGTACTACAGGCTTCTTAGACATTATCGCATTTCATGTACAAACCAACGAACCACTGCATCTTTGCCTACACACTGACCCCTACCGGTCATTCGGTGTACTACAGGCTTCTCAGACATTATTGTATTTCATGTACAAACCAACGAACCACCGCATTTTTCACCTACACACTGACCCCTATTGGTCATTCGGTGTACTACAGGCTTCTTAGGCGTTGTTTGCATTTTCATGTACAAACCAATAAACCACTGCATTTACACCTACACACTGACCCCTATCAGTCATTCGGTGTACTACAGGCTTCTTAGACATTATTGCTTTTCGTGTACAAAACAATAAACCACTGCATTTTTACCTACACACTTACACCTACTGGTCATTCAGTGTACTACAGGCTTCTCAGACATTATTGCATTTCATGTACAAACCAACGAACCACGGCATTTTCGCCTACATGCTGACCCCTACCGGTCAATCGGTATACTACAGTCTTCTCAGACTTTATTTCACTTCATAAGCCAACAAACTAACTACAGCATTTTCGCTTTTATACTGACTCCTATCTGTCAAACGGTAGGATTAACCCCTTAGGGACACATGACATGTGTGACATGTCATGATTCCCTTTTATTCCAGAAGTTTGGTCCTTAAGGGGTTAAAGGGTATTTTTACCATACAATCAGCATTTATGACCCCTACTGATCAACAGCAAAACTGTCTTCACATGTAATATACAATTTACCAGCCAATATAAATTACACATAAGATTGTTTTAACCCCTTAAGGACACAAGACATGTGTGACGTGTCATGATTCCCTTTTATTCCAGAAGTTTGGTCCTTACGGGGTTAAACATAACCATAAACCATAAATGAAACTCCAGCACGGCTCAAATTCAGGTTTAATTCACAATAATTTACATTTCACATCAAGACCAACAGTGGTTCTATCAACACTGCCACCTACAGGTCTGTCAAGTACATTGACAATTTTCATGGGGTTTTACAAACACCAAAACACTTACACCTATAGGTCAACAGACAAACAACATTTCACATACCAATCAGTATCCAACTACACTGCCACCTATAGGGCACTCGGCAGATCTCCAGTGTACTTGCATTTTGCAACACCATGTTCACTGACCCCTACCATTCAATAAGACATACAACAATTCACATAGCAAGCACTATATCAACATCAGGTATAAATACATATATTATTACACAGTAGCAGACGCGTCTGTATATACGTAACTGGTAATATAGTTCACATACATTTTCACAGCACGCTGCTCACGCAACAGACTGTCCCCTAGCAAGGGGACATACAACATACAAGGTGGGGACAGACCACATTTTCACTTGTACATACGGCACTTAATGGGTTAAGATTGATACATATTTAACCAGTATGGCTACGATGTTTAATATTTACACATCACAGCACTTTACTTTTCACATATACTGTACGTATTAAGATAAGCTTGGTCTATGCCATATTTCCTTATGCCATATGGTTTTATCCATTCAGGTTACAGTTACTACTAAAAAACCTATACGGATTGTCAGGTTCAATACCATACTACCAGGTACATACACCTGCTCACGTAGTTTTCCATCTCTTACCTTCCCTGGAATAGTAATAGTGTACTGGCAATTAGGGTTCTAGGGCCCAATAGGTATTACCCCCTTTTTTCTCTGCATTATGCTTCGGTTAGTGGTCCCGCGAGGCCAACACCCCGCACCACACTCGGAGGCATACACCCCTCAGGCCAATCGTGAGCTAGCCGCCTCGCATTGTATCATAGAGAGGGCCTCACCTGTCACTCCCCTTCCTATTTTCTGGTTACTGTCACCGAGAGGCCAACATCCTGCCACAACATTCGGTGGCCACACAAAATCCCCTCGCGCCAAGCATAGATAGAGCCTCTCAAGCCACTTGGCAACTAGCAGGGCCTCACCAGTCACCAAAAACACCAAGCCTAATCGTTTCGCCTTACGGCTTAGCTAGCAAGCCAGTACAAGAACCCTGGGTACAAATAATAATTGCAATCTTTATTGTTATTTAAGTATTTCTCAAAAAGATGGTGAAGAATCACCTCTTCCTAGCACCCCTTGCTAGAATTGATACACCTTCAAGCAGAGGAGATGTTGCTAGTCCTGCAGCAATCAGATCCTGGACGATCCCACACATTACCACCGACCTAAGGAGGTGACAAATCCCCTACCCTGCTACAGCAAGGAAAGCAGAGTTATTCAAACTCCTCCATACATCAACGGACAACACGGAGGCAGGGGAAGGCCCAGCTATATCAACTCAGGTGACACCCAGGCTATGCTAGCCTCACTCATAAACTCATGAGCCAAAAAATTTATGACAGACTGGCAATCTCGAGTTGGTCACCACAGCCCTCACAAGGCTGGGCCTCACGTTACTGTACAACCAGCACCAACCAAAACTCTGTTACCTGGTACAATCAATTCTTATGACACACAAGATGTTAACCCCTGCACGTATGATCCCAGCACATTGGGGAAGCAAGGCATATATATGTATGATGATGTATCTGTGATGGTCAGATCCAGGGATTCCAGGTAAATCGGGAACTGACCATCTCTTGGATGGGTTGGTATTTGGAATATGTAGAGATGTTTATTTGTGCAGGTACCCATACAGAAGGTGTTCTGTCCCAAACAAATGGACGAGCACTCTCAGGCTCCAGGTACCAGCACCTCTGAACTACCAGAGACGATTGATATGAGTAGTTGCATTGCATATAGACTGTTGCATATATGTTCAAATGGTTCAGGGCACATCACAAACCATGTGGCCCAATACAACTTACAAATAACGTACTCACCATCTGTACACACCAATGCATTTTCAACACTACTGACTCATCACCCTTCCAGACTTGTAGTAGATTTACCAAAGCTCTGGAGCTTCAAAGGGCTCCCATACAGGTATCATAAACACACCTTCAAGGAATATAGCATGCCCTCACTTACAGTCAGCACAACAAAACCATTGGCTGAAAACACACCCATAGCCAAGATTTGCAGAGTGGTCTTCCAATCTCCACCATTTACAGCATGGCACCAAACACACACATTGGTATTGTCACAAGGAATCTTCCCTTAAACAAAGACTAACCATAGACTTATTGGCACCACACACCTCCGCTACCTCAAGTCTCAACTCCCTTCTTACTATACAACACCATTGATCTACCTTTACAGCTATCACTCAAGCATGGGTTAAAGCTTGGTTAAGTAAGACCAATATCATCAACGGAGTAAACAGCTACCATCTACCCTACACACTGGCACTTACATGGCATAAATTGGGCAATCCTTTCCCTGCTCAACTTTCGAGCTACAGATTAACCTACTATCGATATTCGCAGATACTCTGTGCTGGTTATGATAACATATCCAGAGGCATTACAGTCATACACTATCTAGAAGACTCTTTGTTGCTCAAAGAAAGCATATTTTTCACTAGAAGCCTCATGGCAGCTTAGTCTGGTTGACCACTTGGGTGTCCCAGTACCCCATAAGAAACAGAAGGCGCAGACACTATCATCACATTACTGGGCATATGACTTGAGTCGGCATCCATACACGCAAGTTACCACAAGACAAATAGGGAACATTCTCAACTAAATCAATCTCTACCTCCTGCTTAGTACTTACAACTACAAGGAACTACAATCCCTACCAGGTTCCTTAATTTTGCCATGCCAATCATACCACAAGACCACGCTTTCACATCCAGAGTACTTTCCCCTTTTTTCCACACTTCCAACATGATTATCAGAGGAGGTGCCTAGACACCTCAGCAACAGCAGACCTGCACATGGGGGGGGGGATTTCTTAACCACTTGGCATGGTAAAAGCATGTTCCTTCCAGGATTGTCTGACACTTCTCCAACCAGATGGTCAGACGCAGCATATACCACGGGTTTGGCAGCAATCTACCGGGAACAATTGCTTTGGGGCTGTTGGCCATGGCATCCAGGTTTGGAAATTTTTCCACCACTTCAGCCCCTTTGGGAGATCTACCCCATTGTAGCAGCTGCTGTGGCATGGGTAAATCATGGTCAGGGTCATCAATCCGTTGTTACTCAGACAACTAAGCACATATCATATCATCAACAAACGCCACTACTCATCCATAAGTTCATGATGTTTCTGGGGAACTCACTTGGTTGGCCACTTATCACATTTCACTTTCATGTACCAGACGGGGTATACATCCCTGCCGACAACTGTCTCATTTATATTCCAGGCATGTTCATCATACGCTTCCTACAGCCGCCCATACAGTCATGTCCACTCTTTCGTTCCAGAGACAAAATCATGGATTAGACATACTCATGCAGCATAGCATGCACTATCCCACCTAGCACTTTCGTCCCATACTTGTAGAACGCATAACACAGCTTTTCACCTGGCTTAAAGAATCTCATTGGAACACGACATAGCTCAACCTGTGTCACAAAATTTCTCCTAAGTTTTGCTTATTTTTGCCACCTTAAACTTAAACTATCTCATACACCATTAATTATATATTTTACAGGCATTCAACAACACATGATAACCTATGGCCAAAACTACCATAAACTTCATGCTATCATACCAGAAAAGAATATACTCAGAGGTTTTCAGGAATCCATTCCCCCACGTTCCTCTCAGAGATTACCAATACCACTCAGACAGATCATTGTCTTCAACGATCCCACGTACGTAAACACATATATCATTACCTATTGGCTCTACCACATTCCGAAATGAGTCAACATGCACCAACAGTAGAGATAACATACTATCCTACCCACAACAAATGGTGCCCACTTTCGGTCCTAGATTCCTACCTTCAAAATCCTTTCAGGAATTAAATACTGTAATGCATTTAAGGAAATGTCTGGTTAATTTGTATATATTTGTTGACTGTATTAAATCTTTGATTATTCATTTTGCCCTCTTTATTTACAGGCCTACCGTATCGTCGGTATCGGCACACCACAACCGACTTGCTCCCTTTACACTATCCTAAGCTTATGCTGGATCCTTACTCCATATACGGCTATTTTGCCCCTTACACAAGTATTAAGGCAGTTTTGCCTGTATTTGTGGGAGGGGCTTAAATTAATTCACTCCCCTATATAAGGGACACCCCTTACCTGACTCATATCGCTTGAGGTCAGCATCAGAATGACCCTCCCACCCACTCCTCATTTCAACACTTTCTCTTTTCTTTCCATTTACTTTACTTTCTTACTCCTTGGTGGGCCCTCTTTGTTTACAGGCCTACCGTATCGTCGGTATCGGCACACCACAACCGACTTGCTCCCTTTACACTATCCTAAGCTTATGCTGGATCCTTACTCCATATACGGCTATTTTGCCCCTTACACAAATATATATATATATATATATATATATATATATATATATATATATAAACATTTCCGTATGCCTGCACTCCAGTAGTAATTTTTCTTAGGGCCCGGTGCTTGTCCGCAATAGTATACAATTGTTGAAAATGATAGCACTCCAAGGTCTTTCTAACGATGAAAAAATAACACAACTTTTTTCAGGTTGTTGCCGGTAAAATCAATCAACATTTCAGCTCAGGATATGAACTTTCATCATCCTGATGTTCTGATGAAAGTTCATATCCTGAGCTGAAACGTTGATTGATTTTACTGGTAACAACCTGAATGAAAGTTGTTTTATTTTTTTTATCGTTACTAAGTAGATTAGGCCTTTATCCTGTATCGTAGCTATCGGAGGTGGAGAGATATCCAACACCTGCCATATTTTATTGTATGATGAAGAGATGAAAACGTTTCGAGATTGCAATAAGGTTTTAATAACAGAGCTTGTTATACCCTTGTTATACACTTACCTATCTTCGACTCCCGCTCAATCTTCATGCCATCAAACCTAGGGCCTGAGGGTCTGGGTGAAACAGAGGACCTTGAATCAGAAGATACGGTCAGACTGGGAGATTCCTTGGATGTTCCAGACTCATCCGAATCGTCATAAGAATCCAAGGTCTTTTAGGCCAAAAGGGGAGAATTTCTATGGCCTCCACTCTCTCTCTCTGAATCATCTTCAGGACTGCATAAATTAGAGTTATGGGAGGAAAAATGTAGGTCAGGTTGAACCTCCATACCTCAGTCAAGGCATCCTGACCCCAAGCTCGTTGGTTGAAGTGTCTGGAGAAGTAATCCTGTAAATGGTTGTTTTTGGATGTTGCCATCAGGTCTATCTGAGGTACTCCCCATCGTCTTGTCAGTTCTTGGAAAACTTCTGGACGTAAATGCCATTCAAACCTGTCCTAGGTTACACGGCCTAGAAAATCAGCCACTGTATTCTGACTCCCTGGAAGATGGACTACGGAGAGACCTTGAACATGTTGCTGTGCCCATATCAAGATGGGGTAAATTTATTTTATCAACATGCAACTATGGGTTCCACCTTGATGGTTTATGTATGCCTCCTTGTTGACTGATCAAATACGGACCCACTTGTGACATAAACTTCTCCTGAATCTCTGGAGAGCTTTGAAAATAGCTCTTACCTCTAGGATGTTGCTTGAGAGTACAGATTCCTCCTTTGACTACTGACCTTGAACTACCTGATTTGGGCAATGGGCTCTCTAACCTTGTGCACTGGCATTTGTAGTTAAAATAATCCAGTGTGGGTCTGTTAAGGGAAAACCCTTTTTCACATTCTTCCTCCTCAGTTATCAAGTGAGATGAAGTCTCGTCATTGGGGGTATCTTCATCAACTGATTCCAATTTCCCTTCCTGTTGTCGAATTAGGACAGAAAAGCCTTTTTAGTTACCCGCAAATGCCACTGTGCCCATCTTAC